ATTGTCCTGTGGGGATCAGGATGTAGGATTCAGGCTTTAACCCTAAACCCTAAAGGATTTAGGCTTGCGGGTAGATGTTCGATTTTCCAGGGCCTTCTAAGGCTAAGGGTTCAGGTATGCTGTTGATGATATAAATCCTGCAGTACATAAAGGACACTAAACTATGGGAATTATGGTACATCCCTTCTATGGGAAATGCAGGAGTTATATCATCAACCGTACGGGTATGGAACTTCCAACTGCTCGCCAGAGCGGTTGACAATCCCAGGAAATCCCAATGGAGGCCGCAGAAGCTTATGTGACACATCCTCGAGGAGTCATACAGACATTAAAAGCCTTTTACGTTGAAGAAGTACAATACATGGCGGGAGACCCTCCAAACGGTTGCATATCGGATGCTTAAACTTAGACTCACCCTGACAAGCACTGTGGGAAACTCAGCTTTTGGCAGCTTTTTTGGCATGATTCGCCAGCTCTGCATCACTGAGAGGTTTCTGCACTATGGTTTAAGATCTTCTCTACCTCGGAGCTGTTCAAAGTTGTCGAAGGCGACTCAGTCGTCGTGCTCGGCAACTCGATCCCAGTTTCATTGACGCGGAAAAAAGTCAATGTGCCCGATGCAGGCTCACAGGACTCAACGTCGGTCTCGTAGATGAAACCTGACAGCAGCCGTGTGCGAATCGCAACTGCCATCTCCAGGAAATCGATCTCGGGTCCCTAAGCCACCTATGTCTCCCTAACCTGAATTAAACTACCAGGCTGCAGCCGGTCTCCATCCAAAGACACATCATATGGCCTGCCTCACAGCCTACTTTGAGCACCACCGCCCCACACTCTGTAAAAGCCCCTTTTTTTCTCGTGCCAAGCAGCTGCATGTTCCCGTGTGTTCGAAGGCGCTGGCGTTGAAGGTGTGTGGCTGGAAGCGAATGGAGTCGCAAACCTGCTGGGACAATTAGTGCAGGTCTCTCATTAGTAGCACGCCCTCCGCCCTAAACCCTAACCCCTTAATGAGTGCAGATCTCGCATTCGTGAAACTCCACCGTTGCTAACAGCAGCAGCAAGGTCGGAGAACTAAACTGAGAAAGGCGGTGTACTAATTAATCAGGGGTCTACATTACCCAAAGGATGCCCGGGAATCGGGTTAGGGTTCTATGGTCTTTTGGGACCTAAGTCCATAATGGTAGTATATGTGGACCCTCTGGTGTAATACTCGATCCGAGTCATGACACTCTTCGCCATCTCCAGCATTTGCACCGTCATTGTGTCATGGAGCCCTGCACGCGGCCAACCCAAAGCCTGGATGCACGGCCCGCCAAAAAACATTCATGATCTCCCCAAAGCCTCCATGTAGCCTTATAGTAGATACTTAGGCCTTAAAGGGGTTCCTATATAGGTACTTAAAGGCCTATGAATCTACTATATAGGTACATGGAGCCTTAGGGCTCATGGAAAAAATGGAGCCTACAAGATGCTCCACTACCAACTACAGTCATACATGCGTAATTATGCGGGGCTCCATGCGGAACAGGGGACTGCAACAGCTGGAACCGAAATGACATTGATATCAGCCTTCCAAACCCTCTCAACGGTTCAACACAAAAACATACATGGACGAGTTCCCCCGGCACAACAAAACCCTAAACCCTAAACTCATAAACCCCATACCCTAACAGCGACACCCTAAACTTATAAACCCAACACCCCCAAACCCCTAAACAACAAACTTGTAAACCCCAAAGCCCTAAACAGCGACACACTAAACCCCAAACCCTAAACCCCTAAACCCTAAACAGCGGCACCCTAAAACCCCTAAACCAGCACCGAGCTTCTGCCTCGAACTCTTTGCCAGCGGATTTCAGGCTCGTTCCGTTCGTCGTCCGCGGGTCCTTGTAAGGTTTAGGGTTTAGGGCTCCAGGGTTTGAGGGTACAGGGTTTACGGCTTTAGGGCTGTAGGGTTAGGGCTTTAAAGGATTTTAGGGTTTAGGGTGTGTCTTGGACAACTAGTTGGGCTTAGGGTTCCGGGGCTCAGGGTTTAGGGTTTAGCGTTTAAGCCTTATGGTTGAATCCTTGCCAGGGTCCTATAAGGGTTCTAGATTGGTAGAAGCGCTCAGGGCAAAGGGGTCCATGTTCCTAAGCATGTAGACTTCGGCCTCAAGGGTGTTCCTGAATTTGTACTGTCAGGTCAACATGTATACACGACTGGTACATGGACCCGTACGGAATGTTCTGCTCATAAAGTCATAAAGGTTCTATGCACACTGCCTTGCATTTTACGTGGTTTTCGTGAGTTGTACGGGCTTAACCGTTCAGCCGTTTCGGGTGTGTGGCATTGGGTGTTAGAGGTTCGGAGATCTGGAAGAAGCGTACTGGTCTCACTGGTTGGGCTCATGATTACGGCCGCAGGGGCTGGTTAGTTAAGTACACACCTTGCACAGGACTGAATAAGCAGGGGGATCTTCCTTAAAACACGGGAAGCTCATTGGGTGTGCTGGTGTCAATTTCTTTGAGGGAGGGGAGGGTGTCTGGGTTTAGGATGGTTCCTAGAGACTCCAATACCCCTTAATTAAGGAATATACCTTACATCATATTAGAGATCTTAGTATAACTTAAGGTATGTTCCTTAATTAAGGGGTATTGGAGTCTCTGGGTTTGGGGGTGGCCAGGATGCTGACAGTACCGGGGTCTCCTTCAAACAAGGCCGCCGTTTTACTGCAGAAACCGCCGTCCAATGTAGGCCGGAAGACCTAGGCACAAGATCCCCATAGCTTACGGCTCCGCGTATGCAAACAGTACCTACCGAAAGCTTGGGGGTTCGAAATCTATATGTGCAACACCTACTTGGGTCTGTTGGAATCTGAAGGGGTCTAATCGTGTACAGATATAGCAGTTATAACCTTGGCCTCAAAAGCTACATTTTCTTAAATCAGAAATCTTGAACCAACAATCCTTAACCCCAAACCCCGAAACTCAGACCCTAAACCTTAACCCCAAACCCCTATGTAAATCCTAAACCCCTTAACCCAAACTCTGAACCTACCTGGGAATCCAGAAACCTACCGCTTTAACGGTTTAGGGTTTTAAGGGGTCATAACCTACTATTTTGTAGGGTTTGGGTCCCTAAACCCCTAAATCCTAAACCCCGAAACCCCTAAACCCTAAACCCTAACCGCGTCGTCGTCCTCGGGTCGTAGGACGTCGTCCTCGCACCTGGACCGACGGGAGCCCTAAGGGGTCCAAAGGACCCAATAATCATGTACTTTGGTTACGGATAGTAGTTTTGTAGCTTAGTATTCCGAAGAATATATGGCTATTAGGTACTTGGACCCTTAGGGGAGGAGGTGGACCCTAAACCCTAGGCTTCCACAATCCGGCTGCTCAAAGTCCTTCCGTGCCCTTACTCTGAGGGGCAGCTTAATTACGGTTAGGGCTTAGAGCTTGGGGCTTACAGGGTTTAATTAGTGTTCCCTTACTTTGGGAGGCAGCTTAGTTACGGTTAGGGCTCAGGGCTTAGAGGATTTAATTAGTGTTTACGGTCTAGGGTGTAGGGGTTTATAGGCTTCATAGGGCTTATCGAGATGGAAGGGTTGATGGTTTAAGAAACGTCCCCGCTACCGGCAACCTGTTCTACTTGTGAATAGGGATGGCGCAACAAAAGGAGCACCGAAGGTATGAGCCTCATTTCCTACCTGACCTGCAGGCTCTGGAATTTAGGGTGTAGGGTTTAGGGTTGCTTGCCTACTTTACTCGGAGGGTTTCGGATTGAGGGTGCGGGATTTAGAGTTGATTCCCTACTTTGCTTGTATGCATTGAATTCTCGGACTGAGTGTACGCTACAGCAGCATGCTCTTTGGGGAAGTGGATCAAGCTTGCCAGGTTCACAAACCTTACGAAATAATTGGCTGCCAGCCCTTGTCACCATTTCGGGCTGCTCTTTTGGGTTTAGAACTCCCCCCCTTCTTTAAGGAACACAGGGTGCACAGCACCCGTTGGCAGTTTGTGTTACACGGTTTTAATTGCGATTACTTGGTGGCTTGTTGATAGTTTTAGCATGTCGCAGTGCTTTTTGACATTATCTCAAGAAGCCATGAAGCCTGCGAAGCAAAAAACACTGCCAATGATGTTGGCCATGTTCCTGTCAAAGGTATACAGGACTCTCAAGGACAACTCAAACACCCGCGACCCAAAACCTTGAAAACACAAACACCAAAGCCCCTTGTGCCTGCGCTTGCATTCTTGCAAAGTGAAGTCACCGATTGTGGACTTGCCCTTGCCGAAGCATTTGCTGTTCCTCGGTTCAGGTTCAGGCAGCAGAGGTCTAAGGGCCTAAGAAGGCAGAGATGACATTGAGAATGAAGAACTGAATATGCCATGCCAGTCATGCCTAGAACAATCAAAGCAACCTTGGCCTGCCGAAACCCTCAATGCACAACAAGACACTGAAAGGACAATTACTGATCGTTGTGATTAATTGCACCATGCGTCGTCCACAAAATCATTGCGCTAGAATGACCACCGTGATGTTCGTTAGTGGTGATGGTTGTAATTGTCATGATATCCACTGGCGCCATGGTTACGATTCTCGTGAAGACGCAAAAGCATGTAATTACGACGTTGCGGAGCTGTGGTTGCTGTCGTTGATGTTTTGTGTTGCTGCTGCTGTTGTCGTTGGACACGAAAACCCCGGTGTGCATCTCTGGCATTATCATCATCATCACCATCATCATCATCATCATCTTCCTGATCATCGTCATCATGATCAGCAACAGTATCATCATCGTCGTCCTTATCCTCAGCGTCATCGTCATCACCAGCTTCATCGTTGCCATCATCAGCAGACATCTCCATCTTCACCTTTATCATGACCATCATCATGGCCATGACCATGATCACGAAGCTGAGATCTTGGGAACCCTAAACCCTAAACCCAAAACCCAAAACCCTCGACCCTGAACTCCTAAACATCACGACGCTGAGATCTTGGGAATCTGCCGCCTTGAATCGGGTTGGCCTGCCAAAGATAACGGTTGCTGGGAGGAGCAGTCGTCGTGAGCGTCACAGACCTGGGCCACAGACTCGTTAGGCTACCTAGCAGTTGCCACGCCTGTCTGTTCTTTTGAGGGTTCTATGTTTTTTTCGCCCGAAACACATAAACTTCTCGGCCTGGCAGAAGGCCAGTGCATTCCAAAAGCCTCAAGAACCCTACACCCACAATCCAACACCGGAAGCCTGGTGCTTGCGGGGGGATTGAGGACTTTTGATTTACTTCGGCCTGCGGGGCTTAGTAACTAACGGTTTAGGGTTTAGGGTTTAGGGTTTAGGGGGTTTAGGGTTTAGGGTTTAGGGTTTAGGGTTTAGGGGGCTCAGTATGCACTTTGGTCTTGACGGGGGCGAGTGCATCGGCACCTTAACACGTCAAAGTTTTAATAGGTACGCCTTGTTCCCGAAACCCTTGTCATGGCACCCTGATACATCCCGTTTAGCACCCTTACAGAACCTGTAAACCCCAAACCCTAAAGCCCTAAACCCTAAACCCTAAAGCCCTAAACACCAAACCCCAAGCCGGGGCAAAAACAAAAAGGAAATATAGCGGACTCCAGCGCTCTGGGATGCCATGTGCCAGAACCCCGATAGTTAGAGTTTAGGGTTTAGGGTCTCTGGGGTTCAGGGCTCCTGTAGGGGGTTTAGGGTTTTAGGGTTTTAGGGTTTTTGGGGTTTAGGGGTCTATAGGGTTTGGGGTTTAGTTTGCGGTTTAGGGTTTGGGGTCGCGGATTTAGGGTCTAGGGATCCTGTAATACGTGGGGTGTAACTAACTAACGGGTAAATAACATCTCGAGTGGGTAAATTTGAGTTGCGGGCTCCAGGTAAAGCCTATGAGAAGTTGCGGGTGAATAAATGGGCTTGACAGCTTGACTGGCAATTTGCGACGATCGGCACCGGAAATGTTGATGAGGAACCATGCGGAACATGTCTCGGCAGCATTTAGGGATCCGGCTACGGAAACGGAGATCGCCTGTAGGCTTTAGGTTTAAGGGCTCTAAGGCCTTCGGTGTTATCCATAAAGGCCAAGGCCTTCGGGACAGCCAAAATCATGCTGCAGCATTTTCAAAACGCGCAGTGAACCCTAAACCCTAAAAAATATATATCCTAAGCCCTAAACCCTAAACCCAGGGTCTATTGGGGTTCAGGACTCGGAGATCGAAAAGGCCGAATGTAGGGGGCCTTCATAATTAGAATAGGGTTCTGGGCTCCAGCTAATCAGGGACCCCAAGGAACACTATCCCTTACCCATATTCTAAGGCTTTGGGCCCGAAGACCCTATTATGTAAGGCGTTGGGGCCATTTTGATGCTAAGAGTATCGGTATTTATTGAGGCTCCTATATTATGAACAGTGGGCGGTTTTGTGATGTCAGGGCAAATCATGGACGGACCCGGACAGCTAGTGACATCTCGACCTGCTGCGAGTTGCAGAGCCTCCAGTCCTGTTGGGGTACGTATGATGGTGATCGTGTAATGATGATGACTACAAGGGCGACAGATCTACTCACAATTAACAGCTGCTGGGTCAGCAGCTATGGACACTGCTACGGCTGCCTTCTGCAATGCACCACGACGACGACGACACGAGTGTTGCTGCTGTTCCAAAACCCTACTATAACAGAGTGATGTTACCGTAAGAAAAAGCCCAAACTCCGGACGAGCTTGATTGGCCCCGTCTGGTGGGTTTGGTGAAGCTCTATGCAAGGGCATAATGTTTCAACGGGAATCCAAATCATCCAAAACTGCCTAAACCCTAATCCATACCGCCTTAAACCCAATAACCACACAACCCTAAATCCTAAACCCTGAAACCCGACACCCTCTAGAAAACCGCCTCCTAGATCTCTCAATAAAACTCCGCAGGACCCTAGAGGACCTAATTACATCCTAAAACCCTAAAGCCAATGAACCTTTAAACTACATCCCAAACCCTCAAAACAGCCTTCAATCCTAAAATCCAGGCCCAATATACCCAGAATCCTGCTCTCCAGGGCCTAAACCTTAAGCCCTAAACCCTAAATCCTAAACTATAAACCCTAAACCCTAAATCCTATAGACCCTTACAGATACTAAATTCCAGGCGTGCGTCTCGTTCATGCCGAAGTCTAAGGCATGGCCCGGTCGAGCGCAGCACGTATACCTTCCGGTTCCTTAAGGATTCCTTTACAGGGATTAGGGTTTAGGGTATAAGGATTCCTTTAAAGGGGAAAGGGTTAGGGGTTAGGGTTTAAGGTTTAGGATTTAGGGTTTAGGATTCCTGTACACTGAGGGTAGTCCTTAGGGGTTCATGGGACTTAGCAACTTGGGTTATAAATAAGCTAACTATAGTTACAAGTACTTATAACCCCGATTAAGGTAGTTATAACTGTATTTATACTAAGTCCCACGACCCTCCATACTTGGAGGGGTGGGCAGCAGAAAGGGTTTGGAATAGGGTTTAGGGTCAGGGACGGTTTAGGTGTTTAGGGTTTAGAGTTCAGGGTTTGGGGCAGACTAAGGGGGCCTTCATAATTAAGTAACAGTGGGTTTCCATTGAAAGGCCCTAAACCCTGAACCCTTTCCTCTAAAGGAGTCTACAAGCCTGCTAAAAGTCTAGGAATCTGGGTACGTCAGGGCCTGTAAATTCTGAACAGGGTTCCCTTTTCATAGGGTTTAGGGCCGGGTTTAGGGTTTAGGGTGGGTTGTATACGGGTTGCTCTAAAGGATATCTTCGGGTTTTGGATGGTTTTGGTATCGAGGCCTTAACGTATCGTGGACACATACTTACGTACATACATACATACTACATACATACATACCTACGTACATACGTACATGCGTACGTACGTACGTACGTACGTACGCACGCACATGCATACATACATACATACATACATACATACATGCATGCATACATACATACATAGTTACCTACATACATGCATTGCATTGCATTGCATTACATTGCATTGCATTACATTGCATTGCAATACACTACATTACAGGTAGATAGACAGATAGATAGATAGATCGATAGATAGATGGATAGACAGATCGACAGGTCGATAGATAGATAGATAGGTAGGTCGACAGATAGGAAGATAGGTACATATGCATGCAACCACACGTGGAAGCAACCGGCGACAACAACCCTGGTTATAAAAGCAGCAACCGTTGTGTAACACATGTACCACGTTGATGCCACGACGGTTCATGCGCTGGTGGTGAAGATGGCAAAGGGCTGAGGAGGATCAGGATGTCCGATGCCGGCATCATGCTGACAAGATGATGATGCTGATGACGGTGGTATGTGTCATGGTTTGGGCTTTCACTTGGGTGATGAAAGTGATGATGATGATGGTGGTGATGGTGATGGTATTGATGACGACGATGATGATGATGATGATGACAAAACCGAAACATTCAGGTGGTGCCGGAGATCTTTTTCGTGCTGGCGATCCACTTTGGCGAATATACTACTCATCGCGTTGCTGCTGCTGATACTAACGATGATGCTGCTGCTGATGATGATGCTGATGATGACCATGGCGATGAAGATGACGAATATGATGACGGTGGTGATGATGATGTCGTTATGGCGACGATGGCGAGGGTCATGGTGGCACTTGCGGTGACAGTGATGGCAAAATAAGAAGAATATCATGCTGGAGCTGGTGTCCGGTGTTGATGATGGTGGATGATGGCGGTGGAAGATGTCGATACTGGTGCCAATGCTGGTTATGAAGTATGTTGAATAAGTGTTGATGGTCATGGCGATAGGCCCAAGGTATCAAGTGATGACGATTGTGCTGGCATGGAGGTATTGGTGGTACTGTATATCGCCTTCTCAGCAAGAAGATTGTGTCTATCTTGCATATCCTGATGAAGAGGAGGAAAATGGGACGGCGATGCTGACCGACCTTAGAATTGTGGTGATGAGAGCGAGAAAAGAGCAGTCCACGTCCAGCCGAAGTAGCCAGGCAGCATCACGAGCCATGCGGTGCAAAAATAGCCTAACCCCTAAACCCTAGACCCTACACCCTAAACCCTAACCCCTAACCCCTAAACCCTAATCCCTGATCCCTAAACCCTAAACCCCCTCGCTGAATGACAGGGTCTCGGAAACTTCATCAGCCAAAGGTATCTCCACAGCACAGGCTGCACAGAACAAAACCTATAAAATTTTCCTAAACCCTGAATCGCTAATTTAGGGGTTTAGGGGTTAGTGGTTTAGGGTTTACGGGTTTAGGGGTTTAGGGCTCATGGTTTAGGGTTTAGGGCCAGCTTAGGGTGCCCTACAATCTAAACATTGGGCCCGAAAGCCTAAACCCTAAACTTTCTTGCAAGGGGCATCACATTTCGTATGGCGGAAGCCAGTGAAGATCTGCCGGAGGATGTCAGGCAGATCGGAAGCACCTCAGTAGTTTCGGCCTTGTGTTTCGGTAGGAGCTTTTGCGTTTGAGACCAAGACGTTGTTAAAACATAGGGCTTAGGGTTTAGGGTCTAGGGCTTAGGGAAGCCGCGAAAACCTACATCGAGGCATTACTCAAAGGTACTATTGCTGGCGAGATACCAAAATTTACTGTGCTTGTTTGTGTTCGGGGATCCGGAAAGAGATCGGGATGCAGACCCTACACCCTAAACCAAGACTCCTAAACTGCCAGAGCAGAGATCGGGCTGCCTTGTGATATGGGATTTAGGCTGTAAGGCTCTGGGGGTTTAGGCGCTTGGGGAGTCCCATGACGCTTTAAGCAGAATGCTTTGGGGTCTTGGGTTTAGGGTTTAGAGTCTTGGGGTCTTGGGTTTAGGGTTTTGGGGTCTTGGGTTTAGGGTTTAGGGTTGGGGGTCTTGGGGTGTCTGAGTTTAAGCGGGATCAGGGCTTAGTTCGCATAATTTTCGGGACCGGGAAATGAGGCCTGGAGATGGAAGGTTTAGGGCTTGCAGCGTAGAGCTTAATTAAAGGAAACTACAGGTGGATGATATAACGGTAACTACCCACCTGAAAATGTCCTAGACTTCACCCCTACACCCTGAACCCTTTAAGCGCCTGAACCCCAAAGCCGCTGAAGCCTAAACCCTAAACCCCAAGGTTGCAGGACGCATTGGACCTGCTCTATCTCTTCAATCAGCCATACTGTTGATGATATAAATCCTGCAACTGATAAGGAATATACCATAATCCCCATAGTTTAGGGTCCTTAAGGTAATGCAGGATTTATATCATCAACCGTATGATCCATGCCCTTAGCTTACCGGGATATATCTCCCAGCCTCAGGATATCAGGACTAGCACTAGGGTGTAGGGCTTAGGGCTTGAGGGTTGTAGGGTTTAGGGCTTGGGGTTATAGGGTTTTACGGTTCAGGAAAAAGGGGTTTAAGAAGGGTGCAGAGATATTTCCGCAACTGCCGTCTGGACAGCATGTTCAAATCTTTCCAACACTGCCACGAGGGTAGATGATCTGACAAGGATACCAGCCGCACACCTGGACCGAAACCCTAAACCCTAAATCTCTGGCCTTGCCAGGGTATCAGTCCGTGATAGATGCCCTCAGCAACCCTTTATTCTACCACACCAGAGCAACAGCTTATAGGGTTCAGGCTTAGGGATTCGGGTGCAGAGTCAGAGTGCCCTCCATCTGCGAAGGCACAGCGTCGCAGTTGCACCGCTGTGGTGTGAAGGCTTTGCATTTCACCTCGGTTTAGGGCTGACTTGGAGGTTGAGGCTTAGTAAGTATAGCTGTTAGTACCTGACCTTTACATATTCATTAAATGTAACACAAACCTGCAGTTCTCGTAGCAATACTCCAAGTTACTAAGTCCTAGTAAGATTCAGCGGTTGGGGATTGGGACTTCGGAGTTTTGTCTCGGAGTTTGGGAGAATGGGCTTTAGGGTTTAGGGGTTTAGGGTGTGGGTGGGGATTTAAATTTTGGGAGGATAGGAGGCAGCAAGGCATCCATACTAGGCTCAACTTAGAACCCTAAACTGACCCTCGTTCGTTTTCACGGACAGTTGGACTATACTGTGTTATAGCTATATACGGGCTACCAGGAGATGTAGCCACATCGTGGCAAAGCAACTGCTCCTATGGTTCGTGCCATCTGTTGTTCTTTTGGTTCGGGTGTTGGTCTTGCTTGATAGGCTCCTGAGAAGTCTAACACCAGACATCATATCATGGACACGACATGGAACTCTGCTGAAGTATGCAGGGTTGCACTAGCACGTACAGTCACACATACATACATACATA